ACCCTAAACCACCCTATACGTCCTGGCTACGTGGGAGGGAAAAAACCCTATAAGGCTTAGGGCTGAGGAGTTCATGGGACTTCAGCTCCAGCGAACTCCCGTCACCTCTGGTAGGAGACGCACCTCACCATCATCGAGCACTACGTCGAAGCGAAGGACGTCGCATCTGCCGCCACAGAGACTCCACACAGTTTCTTTTCATGGAAACTACAAGAGATTCTTAGCGAGGTACCCAAAAGTATGGGACATCGGAGACTAAATTCTACTATGGATTTGGAGTCTTTGTGTTCACCTCGCCGGTACTGTGCCTTGTCCCAGCCATCGTTGCTGCATGCGCCTGGCAGCTGTCATGAACCCCTAAACTGTAAACCCTGATCCGTATCAGGCCCTTACAGAGATCTCACAAAATCCTGTACGGCTCGCTTGAACTGTCAAGTCGTCAATCGACATCCGTTGCTTCCAGAGTCTCCTTCGCTTGGTGCAGTTCGGACTTGGCTCAGCATCTCCGGGGGTTGCTAAGGCCGGATCTAGCAGCCCTGCGGCCCGACAAGTGAAGTGAGATGCTACGGTATCTATAGTGTATAAACATACATATATGCGTGTGTAAAGACACATGGACACCTCTATATATCTATATCTATATCTGTATATATATATATGTACACATACACATACACATTTGCATAGAGCTGTATGTGTGCATGACAGCAAGCGGGGCTGTCGGATTTCGAGTTGAGGGTTTCGGGAGGTCCGGTGTTTATTCCTCGCATCCCCATCCTGCACAGCCACTGAGCCATGCCATCAGATGAGAAAATTCGGCAAGTCTCCGCGGCTTGGACTAACTGGCGTAAGCTCGAATTCAAGCCGAGCCCTGAATCCGGGATTTGCTGGCTCGTTCCTTATCCTTTCCCTGTTTGGGTGAAGCCTGTCCACTGTACCTGGATGCCTGGGCATGGCGCATGTCACGTGGAAGCACGCAGTTAACTAATAGCTGCTAGTATTCCTTGTATAGGTATCTTCAGAGACCCCAACAGCATATTCTCCTAGAGCCCCTACAGTCCCTACAGACCTCTTGAAAAAAAGCCACCCTTAAACCAGACGAGGTGGCCCTGCGACTCCGCGGCGACTCCCGCGGAGAGGTTTTCTCTGCCGAGGCAGGGAGCTCCGGCGTAATTATGTCGGGTTGAGAGTTTTAGGGTTCTAGGAGATCTCTGGCGATTGCACAAGTCCAGATGCAAAGGGAGATCCCTAGGCCCTGAAATTCCCGGTATTTTAGGCTCTTCTCTTGGGGTCCCCGTGAGCCTAAGCTGCAGACCGCAAGGCCACGATGCCCCGGCTGAATGATTTGCGGTGCCGGCCTGAGCGTGTAGCAAGCAGGCTTTAGGGTCTCGGCGCTGTTTATTTTACGCAGCTCCTAGGCATGTTCGGCCAAATTAGCCGCCTGCTCCCACTGCTCTTGCAGGTCTAGGCTTCCCCCGAGACTACTCGTGTGCGGGTTTTCCGTTTGCTGGCTTTCGGGTCCAGTTCAGGGCATGGAGTCAGTTCGGGGTTTAGAGGGTTTGGGGTCTCGAGGTTCGCTTAATTAAGTCTTAAGTCTGGGCCTGAGGATCTGCAGCGGTCGGTTTCAGTTCCGAACCCTAAGCCCTAAACCCCAAGCCCTAAACCCCTAAACCCTTAACACCTTAACCCTGAACCCGAAACCCTAAGCCCCAAAGCACTCCTACCGAGCTAACCGCTTAGAAAAAAGCAGGACCCCCCCAACACACGTAGCCCAAGTCCCCGCAAAGACCCCCCTGCGAGCTCCATAGATTGCCCAAGTAAGATCGGAACATGTCGGAACCACTAGTACCGGAACCCCCCTTTTGAGTTCGTAGTAGCAGACCCTTATGGCCCTTATTGCAGATATCATTTTGTTTCATACAATCAACGCCAGACTCGATGGTAAAGGGCCGGGCAATGCAGAATGCAAGAAGACCCAACGTCTCTGCAGTAAAGAGGGGCCCGAAAGACCTTGAAGGCCTTCAGATGTAGGGTAAAGACCCCGAGAGCATAAGGGCCGGCGACGCCTGGTACTTTGATCACGCGCCTGGGCTGCAAGAAGGAGCAAGATCAAGGAGGACACAGAATTCGATGTCAGAATCGTGACTGGTAATGCTTGCAATTGCAAGGATGTCGGTAGGACAAGCACGAGCTATGCGGGACTAAGAGAACGCGGAATAAGAAAGACAACGGAGACTAATGCTCAGAAAAGAGCCACACGAGCCTGAGCAGTAACACAGGCTAGTCCCGCAGTTGCCTCCAGAGATTCTTGATCGAAACGTTTGTTGCAATGGCAGTCCCGGTAAGCATGTTAATGGCCTGGCAATGACCACGGCCATATGAATGGAGACGCAGTGTCGCGAAATCGTCGCCGTCATCGTCGTTGTAGCAGCACTAATTAGTCGTCGTCGTAGTGGTGAGAGTAGTACTAGTAGCAGTCCAGTCTTAGTAGCAGTAGAACCCAATAGGAGTTTTAGTGCAGCAGCAGGAGCAGCAGTAGTTTGAGTAGTTCTGGGAGGAGGAGTACGAGTAGGTGTAGGAGCAGGAGAAGGCGTAGGAGTATGAGTAGGAGCAGGAGCAGGACCAGGAGTAGGAGCAGGAGTGGCACTAGCCGCAGTAGCAGTTGAAGTGGTAGCATGACAAATGACAAGTAATAGCAGTTCGTGCATGTCTGCAGGAGTAGCGCTCAGTGGTAGAGGCCTGAAGCTCTACCAGTCGCAATGTTACAAGATGTTGCTAACATAAGTAAGCCACGTGGAACCGGCAAACTTATAGGCCGTAGCAGGCCAGTACGGGTATTGGTGAACGGTATCATTGCAGAACTACCAATGGCAACGCCAAGCCTCATGGTCGGCGGCCTTCCACCTCGCCTCCGAAGCTCGCGGAGACTTAATCAGTAGTCAACAAGTCCAAAAGCGCGAAGCCTGTGTTTAACCTGAGTTCTGAGCGCTGGAAACTACCGAGTCCTCGACCAAGGTGTATCAGCCCTGGAGCGCAAACAGCGAGATCTTCGAGACCTCGGCACCTGACTTGGCAGGGGCAGCCCATACCGGACGCTCGCATTTCTGACTCCAGGGACAGACTTCCTAAACCCCAAGCTTGCCCTAAACCCTGAAGCCACACCGCAACCCCAGCAACTTGTCAGCGCCCCCACCTTTGAGGTGCAGCCCTCCGTGGCGAGCGTCTGCCGCGGCGGTGGTGGCATCATCCTAGCCGGAGGGGTTGCAGACACTTGGCTCCTTCGGGGCTTGAACTCTGGAAAACAGTCCCCCTAACGTTTAGGGAGTTTAGGGTCTAGGGAGAAATCTCCTCAAGGTTTAGGGTAAAACCTACAGGCCTGAAGGACCTGTCAAGAAGGGTTGCGAGTGGAGTTTCGAAGGTAACTGGTTTCAAGGTTCTTGCAGACCGATGTTGCAGAGTCTTAATCTTGGTGTTTCAGCCACCTAGAGTTTACCCGAGCCCTAAACCCCTAACCGTTCTAACCTAAACCCTAAACCCTAGACTACCGAAACCTATGTGTTTGGGGTTCTGCAAGGGGGTTCTTCGTGAGGTCTGAGGGTCGAGGATTTCTGTTCCTAGGTAGTCTTCGGGAGACCACTTACAGGGAACCCTTCTTAACCATACTTATGGCTCTCTCTTAAAAGGGGCCTTGTTAAGAGGTCTATATCCCCAACGGTCCCCCTAATCCGATCTAACGAGACGCTGGTCTTGGGGTTTTGGGTTTGCGAGCTGAGGTCCAGGGTATGGTTCTAGGTACCTATAGGTATAAATAGGTATAGATAGGTATCTATAGGTATCAATAGGTATCAATAGGTATGGATAGGTATGAGGGTCTATGGGTTTAGGGTTTAGGTTTCGCAGACAGTGCAACACGCTTCGCGTGCTCAGCCATAAGCGCTGGGGTCTGGAGCTTGGCTGAAGGGATTCAGGGCTTAGTGCATTGCAGTCCCTGCTCAAACAAAAGGGTTTAGGTTTCTATCTCTCTTGAAGCTGTTGCGACATTGCCTTCGTCAGCTCTCACGTGCTTGCCCGTCGCCAACAGTCTGACATGCATTCTTCTGAGAGCAGGTGTCAACATCCCGAAACCTCAGAATAAACACAAACACTCCCATCAGACCCGTCTACAAGCCCAATACAAAGCCGCTGAAGACTGGGAAGAACTTCGGAAGAACCTGAGAAAGCCCTGACGAGCCCTCATAAAATGCTATTGTCAGCCCCACAAAAGCATCACGCTCTCCTTTCAGGAAACTGGCCGGATGCTGACGAGTCAGGCAAGGGTCTTCCTCAGCCTCAAGACCTGTTCTTCCTGTCGGGTTTGGGATTTCTGGGTTTTGGGTTGGGCTGGGGAATTTTGGCATCTTAACTACCACGCCGTGCCAAACTTCTGAGTCTACCGGTTTGCTTCGCAAGGAACAGCTCAGAACAGCTCCTTTGGCCAACAAAGAGCACCCACAAGCAAGCCACAGTGCCCTAAACCTTAAACCCTCAATCCTCGACCGACCGGCCAAAGCAGCTTCTCTTCATTGCGGGCTTTGTGGCAACTTGCCGGGTTTTGCAACCTGCGGGGTTTGGTCAACCCTATGCTCGACCCTCAACCCTCTAGGGTTTAGGGTTTCGCCGTGACCCTGCACCCTGAACCGTGTCCGGAGGGGAGAGAGGGTGCGTGCAAGTGAGAGGAGTGCAAAGTGGGGCGAGGTATGCTGAGGCATAATGCCCGCATCAAGAAGAAAGCAACACGAGCAGTACAAGGTAGCGATATTCTGACGCAGTGATAACAGTGATAACACAATCGGAACAGCTGCCACATGATGATGCAACGTAATGTAGCATTAAGGAATGCTTCTCGGAGTGGCGAGGACGAAAGTTGCTCATGTGATGGCGGTGACGATGAGCATGCTGCAGATGATGGCTCTCATCCTGAACCCGTTAGGCTCAAGTCAAAGGGCCCACGTGTCTAGGATATGTCTGGCCCCACACTACAGCGGGAGATTGCTGCGGTGGAACAGGCGCTGTCTACCGAGATCCGCAGGCGCAGCGACTTGGAAGCGAGGCTAGCGGCTACAGTTGATGCTGAGGTGCGCAAAGCAGTTAGGGAGGCGGCAGGGGCCATTGAAGCACAGCTGAGCTCCGGATACCGACGCCATGTGGACGACATGAGCACGCGGCTTCTCGTCGCGGAGCGCTCCCTTGGAGCACTTCGAACTCGTCTGGAGACGGAGGTTGGCAGGAAAGAGCTGGGCGCGAAGAGTGTGAGCGAAGTATCTGACCGACATATCTCCTGGTTGGAAGCTCGCGTGACAGAGCTGGAGCTGAAGGGCCACGACACGCTTCCCATGGAGGTGGCCAGGCAACTGCAGCTGATGCGACAGCAGCTACTGGATGAGGCAGCCTCGAGGTGGGCAGATGTTGCGGGGCCCCTTCAGGTAGGAACAGCTGAGAACCGGCAGAGAGTAGATGCTCTGGAGCAGTGGCTGAGGGAGGCTCTTGCCCCGGAGTTGGTCCGGCTGCAGCTGGACTTGGCTTCCGAACATCGCTGCCGAGAACGCTTGGAGTCTGTCGTGAACAAGCAGCTGGCCCTCTCAAAGACTTTGGAGAGGGCCAGGGCGGTGTCGGTTTCTCCGAGACTGTCACACGCTCCGCAAGCAGCGCCAGAACCGCCGAGCAAGCCGACGACGCGGACAATCACTGTTTCCACTGCACCGCCCGTGGCAGCACCACGCACGCAAGCCTCTTCAGAGGGCCTCCCCGTTTCGACGGTGGAAATAGTCCCAGCAGAGCCGCTCCCAGCAGGCGGATCTTTCGCATCAACGGCTGCTGCACCTCAGGATGTGGCTTCTCCTGCCACGGCCAAAGAATTGGGCGCACAGGCTGACAGCGTCGACCGCGTCGTTTCATCTGAAGACGTTGCTCTGCCGTCGGACGCACGTCCAGTCAGCGCCGCCGCACCTGTGGAAATGGCAGATACTTCCGGACAAGGAGAACCTTTGCCGCCGGTGCCATCGGCCTCGTCGCACGATGCCGCGCCTGCTGCCCCACATCGGCAGACGAGGGCTCTTCTCGGCCGCATGCGGCAAAGTTTGAAGAAGTAGCTCTGCTTCCGATCAAAAAGCAATCTGTTTCCAGGTCGGGTTATGAGGATGCAGCCGGAAAGCACGTCCATTCCTTTCACCGACACGCTGGACCAAGCCATGACTATGTGTTAATTGTGAGTGTGGAAGCCTAAGCCCCTAAGCCGGCGGTGCTTTGAATAGCCACTGACAGGGGGATGATGACAGTTGCGGCCTCGGATGTCCTGTCTTCGGGTTAGATGGAATTTTTCATACCATGGATTCTGCTGCAGGGTTTAAGGGAGTGTTTAGGGTTTCAAGCGGAATTGAAAGGGAAACGGATGGACAAGGTGATTAAGGTTCAAATTTGGTCTTGTCCTCGCACATCTTGTATACTATTTTGCAGGTTCCTTATTAATCTTGTTATAATTATTGTCTAATCTACCCCAAAACCCTAATCTAGTTGTTGATCTATTTCTGCGAACAGCCTCCCAAGGCCTCCTGGGCCGGGCGGTGCAGCAGATCTTTGCAGAAATCTGCACCCAGCGCTCCCGCAGGTGGGAGGAGAGAGATCAGGGTGTAGGGGAGAAGGATGGAAAGACAGAGAGAGAGAGAGAGAGA